CTATTATAGTATTTATTAATATTTTGGATTTAATTTTAGTAATTTTGTTGTGTTATGTGCTTTTGATTTTATTTCAGTTTTAGTAATTTTAGTGCTTAAACTACACATTTTATTACAAAAGGAAACTTTTTTTTGTTCAGCTTTATTTCAATTAGTGAATTTTTTATTTGAATATTTTACAATAACAATACTGGTCTGCCAAGCTCCAAAATGACAATAAATAAAGAAAAGTAGACTGAAACCATTCGTTAACTTTGAGGGGAACATACAAGTCTTTAAAATCTCAAAATCATTTCTACCATATTCATCTAGTGCATTGTGATGCATACAAAAATCCATGTTTGTGGATCTTTTTGGAGCTTAATGGTCACTGGTAGTCTCCTAGCATTTTGGATATTCTGTTAAAAAAAACTCCTTTTGTGTACAACAGAATAAAGAATGTCATACAGGTTTTAAATAAGTGAGCAGATTCTTTTTTGTTATCCATTTAAAAACACTCATTCTCAACTAAACCCATGTGCTTTACATTTCTGTAGGCTTGAGAATGAGAGGAAATCTCTATAATACACAGTTCCTTACCCTCAAGGTTCCTCAGCTCCCATTGATCCTAGTCTCTCCATAAACATGCCATGTAAGAATGCATACAGTACATGTCTTCCATGCAGCTGGAAAGCAGGAGCTGCACTCCAAATTACTCATCAGCCCATGTGTTCACTTTATATGCCCATGATAGTGTTCTATTGTAGTTCATGATGAAGCGCTCTGTCTTTATATAGTATAGAAAAGTCGTGATGCAAGGAATACAATTTCAGGGTCCAAGGCGCTACTCAATTGTGCTTTCAATTAGCTACTAGGCTCATGGCATCCCAGATTCAAATATTTTAATGATTCGTAAAAGATTAATCACTGCCTGGCCAGCTGAGATTTTTAGGTAGTACCATTTGTTTCTGTGTGTTGTTTATGTGACATCAGACTTAAGCAGATGACTGCACACCTTCAAGAGGCATTTGGGATGCGTTTCAAACAGATGATTTTGGATACTCACACTGTGCCGTTACCCTTGGGCAGCCCCAAAGCATTCACTGGTGGTGGAGGTGGTGTGGCTGGAAGCACCGACACCAGAAACCCAGCTGGTGACAGTGGAGTGGACATGTAGGGCGAGGAGGTGTCTGAGCGAGTGGGGCTTGACGTGACAGGTGGAGGAGGCGGTGGAGGAGGGAAGTCTTGTGGCAAGCCAGCAGGAGAGGATAGAGTGCTGGAGCTGAGAAAGGGCGGAGGGGGCGGTGGGAAAGAAGGCGAGCTGGGAGACTCCACGCTGCTTCCTTTGGACAGTGACGGCTGCTGCTGGAAGAGCGGAAGGGTGACACGGCTGAAGGGTTTGTGGGACATTGTGGGAGACAGCGGACTGGAGCTTGAGGACTGCGTGCTGTATCCGATCGGTCCCCCGCTTGTTGTGGGACTCTGAGCAGCAATGAACTGCTTGGGCCGGGCGTAGTTGAAGGTGCTTGTCTGCATGGTGCTACCCTCCAGTTCCTGGAAGGAGGGAGGAGGTGGGAGAGGCGGAGATGGAGGCGGGACTTCCTGAGGAGGGGGAAGCTGCTGTTGCTGCTCGAGAAGGATCTGATCTTGAAGTTGCTTCAGTTGTGCTGCGTTTCTGCAGGGAAGAAAATTAAACAAATGGACTGTTTAGCATCACTAACTATACACATTTTACTATAATTGCACAACCTGACAAATATTAACTGAACTAATGTCAGCATCTTCAGATAATGTTTGCGGCGATGTACTGTGTGCGCGATGTGCAACGGTGTACACAATTATAAACCTTGATAGTTCCGGTCCTGATTACTCAATACAGCATTCCTGCCAAAACCCATGACAGAAAAAAAAGATTCTCAAGAACATCTACGAATGCACATATACATGTGTCTGTACAGCCGCATATGGGCAGAAGATTTCATGCCTAGTTGTTTGTGCGGTTATGCATGTCTGTGTGTATTTGTGCTTAGTTTCTGGGAAGGAAACTACAGCCCACTGAAAAGCGAGTGATATGCTATCTTGGGTAAAGTTTAAACTACACTGTCAACAGCCTGTAAACAGCATGGAAAAGGATGAGATGGAGATCTCAGTAATGTGTCGTGTGAATATGGGTGTGGGCTGATGATTGAGTGTTATCTGTCCAATGTTTGGCCTCATGGTTCACCCACATACACAACAACACTGACGTCCACATTGTCCTTTTCGCTGCTAAACATGAGATATTTGTTGCCTACAGTCATGGTTTTCCATCATCTGAATTCTTGTGTCCCTGGAGGACGTTTTGTTCTAAACGCAATTTGTCTCTTCTTCTGCAGACTCAGCCCCACTCTCCCGCTGCCTTTTTTTGGCAACTTCTAGACACATTCTGTGAGCCTCAACAAATGGATAACCTTAAACGAACCGAAGTCCAGATGCTTTTCATTGAAATGTTCTCATTGGTCTCCTATAGGCGCATTCAACATTTTTCTGCTATTCGCTCCGTAAAGAAACCCAAAACTTAAATTAAATGCGTAATTTCGATGCGTGTGTTTCACAAGGGGATCGGGAGTGGTAGGCCAGTCACACTCCAAACCCCATTTAATCAAATTATTTCCAGATGTTGACTAATGAGTCACTGTGTTTTCCCTCCTTCTCTCCATTTTTTTGTAATGGAGGTGGAAGCGCTCCCTCCAGCCAACTGATAAATCCTCAGAGTTTGGGTCAAGAAAAAGAGAAAGGGAGTATTCAGTTTGTGTTGGTAATACTTCGCCAAGCCTTAACCTAAAACCTAGAGTGCAAGTTTATCAAATAAAAGGATTCATTGAAGAAAAGAAGAGATTAAATTATGTAACTTTGTTTTGGCGGCACAAATGGTGATTTGGACCACATTAAAGGCATAAATGACCATCTAAAACCTTGCCTTTTCCTCTTTTTTTCCCTGTCCATATGTTCAAGTATCCATCAAAAGAGCACTTTTACAGGAATACTTTGGCAGCTGGTGAAAGGCTCTTGGACTCAACCGCCTGTGCTGCTTTGCTTTCATTCCTTTTTTGGCTCTGTTATGAGTCCGAAGCACCAGCGACTAGACTCTCACTTTTCTACCTTCTCTTTGGGTCTTGCTTCCTCTCCTTCCCTTTCTTTAAATCCCTTTTTAAAATTCCACAATAATGTTACCTTCCTTATTCCCTCATATTTTTTAACATCAGAAAGAGCAAGAATTGCAAGTCTAATCTGTCTTTTTCTCCATCCTTTTGCTTTTCTCTTCTCCTCCCCCCTGAGTGAAAGCTGCTGGATAATGGCCGGTAAAGGTCTGGCATTACGAGCCCCTCCAGAAATACCGCTCCGACTCTTAATATACCACTTAATCGTTTCCAGCATTCAAGGAATATCATCAGGTTCAAATCACAGGCAGCTATTTTCTAAAAATAGCTCTTGCAGGTTTCTCCACTTATTTTTTCCTTTTGCATTTCTGGAATTCCTGACCAGTAAACCTGGGTTGATGAAGGAAGGTCAGCCGGTGCTGACATAATCAGATTGCCTTAAAAGGCACCGAGTCTGCAAACAGTAAATGCTACGGTACCTTCCTGCTTAAAATCATGTTCATAAATTAGAGAAATCTCAAACACCAGTACACGGATACAGATTCAACAATCTGTGCAGTGCATTTCTTGAATATTTACTGAAGTGATGAGTTCAAATAAGCAGGAAGCAAAGTGTGACATTAGTTCAGCTTTTTCCAGTAACATGGCACTTGAACAAAACACTACATTCACAATCTTCATTTCCATCAATCAGTCAACCATGTTTTCCTAAACATGTAACTGTTTTGTTTCATGTAAATGAACCGATTCAAAAACGATTCTGTCAATCCGTTTAATTTTTTATATTGAATTCAGTAGTTAATTTAATTATTTAGCAGTTTTTTTATGCATTCAATTCTTTTTGTAATACTATGCAGCTTAAAGTTCTCTGTTCAAGTATAATGGTAACACTCAAATTATTCACTCAATTAAAACCCATCAATGCATAAGCGCAAGATCTGATTAAATTATATCATCTGATAATTGTGCATTTAAAAATAAACATTGCACCCCTTAAGCATCAAAGCAGTTTTGCCATTTTTTTTGTATTGTACAGTGTAGCTAAACTACTTTTTCAAAAGGTTAGTCTGACTTGGAAATCTACTGTACAGTTTCAAAGTTGGGATCAACTGTGACTCAAACTCACATCGCCCACATGACCACAGCTTCAGCCACATTCTCAGTTGTGTTTTTCAAGTCTACAGACGTTCCTCAGCTGAGTCTGCTGTACTCAGGGTTAGTTCTGTCATAGTTTGAGTGATTTAGCGATACTAATGGGAGAGAGGTGCATATGTCTCTGCGTCCATATGCACCCAGCACTGCTTAAATAATCACAGCCTTCTGTCAAAGGTTACATGAAGTAATTTCATGTAACAATTTTCTGCCAAATTACAAGGTTTGTTACTAGTGGAGATGAAGCAGACCCCTCAGCAGACACAAAACACACTCATATTCCTGAACTTACACACATTCCGGTCTAATTTAGCTACAGGTCTATAAAATGCACTTACACAAATCTAGCTCCTACTGTTTTATGGGAACCCCAGAGAAGCACTTGACCTTGCATAAAACACACACAATCGTCAAAATCGTCTGTTTTGAATCAGAGAACTGTTCAGACATCACTGCTACAGAAACTAAACACAGAGGTCATTTTAAAAAATTTAATTTATTAAACCTTGATTAAAATTAAATAAACTAAAACAAGTAAATACAAAAAGTAAAATAATAGCAGGGAGGGCTTTCTAAAATGACAGATACTAATACCAGAATGCATGAATAAATCATGCAATATAAAAATGAAGCATATAAAAACAAGCTGTACGCCGACTTGCGGTAGAGTGATTTTATAAGCTCATCTTTTACTAAATGTTTGCTTATTATTAAAAAGTCTATATTGCCTATTCTATTATAATGCCTTTCTTTTCTTCAGAATCCACTTCATACAAGCACATAACAGTGCACATATTTTCTGTTCCTAACTTCCTCTGAAGCCTGTTGCATTGTATTTGAATCATATGCAGACATGACAGGAAGCTGTTGAGCTAGTCTTTCTTTCTCTCCTCCACACCATAATTTAAAACCCAGAGCTGATGATGTTCACAGTGCATTAAAAACTACAATTTGTTGTACCATTAAAACAGTCGTGACATGAGGTCAGACAAGCGCTCATTAGCTTTGAAGTGGTGACATTTGTCAGTGGCATTTGTGCCCCTATAAAACAGTGAAAAATACCTCATAAAGTTGTGTTAACCAATGTGCCCTTTACAAAATAACGGTAAGATACGGGTCAGTGCAGATTATGGTTTAATTAGACCACCAATCAGCTTCTATCCAGACTTTTAATATCACTGCATAAGACAGGGGCTGGTGTTAGTTAGTCTCTCTAAGCATAATAAGGTCAGTGTATTCTTTGCTCTTTTTTTTTACTCTTTCATCTCCTCGCACTGTCCTACTGGAGTATCTTCTGAGTATTTCATATCTGCTTCTCTAAACTTTTCTATAATTGTTTAAAATCACTGCTGAAGATTGATACAAGCAAAAAAAAAAAA